AATCCCCCTAAATGTAGCTAACTTTACAGTCCTACAGAACACTGCATTTCCTAGACTTACAGTAAGTTTTTCTACCAGAGCCATAAATAAAAAAACTATCTGCAAATAGAAATTATTTTTCCCTAGCTACCAACTTAATATTAATCCAATAGTATTTCAACTTGATTTTTGAAAGCTATTTTTAAAAGATGACATAAACATTAATTGAACTTACAGAAGTGTAAAAAAATTAGTAGAAGAACATACAGGAAAGCTGTGCTCAAAAAACAAATCAATTTTTCTGCAACCTGCCACATACAACTAGGTTTTATAAAAAGTTTACCCACCACACAAATKGAAATTTTCAAGTTACTCACCAACTTTCAAAAATAGGATACAGATGCAAAAGTAGTCATTAGTATTTAAGCAGCTTCAAGTTGTTTAATAAACATGAAAATCTCATAAACATGAAAATCTCAGAATGTTAACTAYAGGACACCAGCAAGCTCTGTTTAAATAGATGACACGAGTTTTCCAGTTACSTTCTTTTCCACTCTCCTTCAATAAACCCCACCACTAGTGACAGATATTTATTCAAGTACCTTCACCATCTCTCTATATTTTTATTAGGAGAGCAGAAGGGATGATTTCTTTGATGGCCCCAACCCTATAAACTCTTCAGCACAGGCTTAGTAACATTTGAGCTTTTATGTTTTCCTTTAAGTACCTTACAGTTTTCTTTGTATTGGAATATTCACATATGTGAAGTACACATCTGAAGTGTTAAAAGAATCTGGGACCAAATTAACAATTTTTTAAAAAGGAAATAATATATTAAAAAGGAAAAAAATACCTCTACAAGTGCAACTACTTCTAAAAAGACTTGTCGGCTGACACAAACAAGTTTATTTTTGAAGAACTGTTAGTGTGTCCCCACAATGCTTACCCTCCCTTTGCTAAATAATGGCCATAATGAGTTAAGCAATGAGGTTTTTTTAGTTAAGTTTGAATTTGGACCTGCTGAATTTTATCTTTGCTTCCTGAATGTCAAGTGAAGCTTCATCCCTGACACAATATTATCAGCATGAGGAAATGCAGCTCCTGGGTTTCTAAGGCAGGAAAAAATAGCTGCAAATCTCAGAAACCAGGGAAATATTAAAGTCAACCCCTTGGAGCGAGTTCTAACAGGACTGCTGTCATACTGCAGAAAGTAGGGCATCCACATTTTTCAAAAGMAAGTAACATAAAAGCAGGTTGCCAGGTAGCTCATAATGCTGCCACTTGCTACAGTGTTTTCTGAAGCAGCTGCACCTTTGCAAAACCAAGGACTGCCTTCTTTCAGCRGAGTTCATGGGGAAAAAAATTCTGAAGTTTCTTTTTTGCCAGCTGATACCTCCCACAATGAAACTACCAACACTTTGTGGCAGAAAATGAGCTATTTTTTCTTCATGTAGTACTTACTAAAAAAAATATCTGTCCTCTAAAAACAGACATAGCAGCATGTGAAATGGGAACAGGCAGTATCCAGTCTCTTTACAGGAGCGCTGTGCTTTTTGTCCATTGTCTTGTTTGAAAAGAAAATTTCCTCCTRAAGTTGGCTGCTAACTTAAGAAATGAAGCTGATAATTTTTTCTATAGATGTGGAAAAAAACCCTAGATTGTAACTCAYTGTGTCCACCTTTTTAAAAAAAGGTAAGTACACTTGCTTTTAAAAGCAGGTCATATATTGAATTTTAAATATGTGGGCGACATTAGATTTGCTGATATTCCATTATGGGATGGGAATAGGAGAACCTCCCTATACCTAATAACCAAAGATTATAACTTACCTTTTCCTTGACTAATGAGAAGCATTTAAATGTTTTTAAAAAGCCATCTTAATCTGACCATAATGCTCAAAATTTGAAAGTAATAGCCAATTCTCATTAGCCATCTTAGGGTTTGTTTGCATTTAAGTACTAAMTTATCTGGAGCTAAATACTAAAAGCAAACATAAAAAAATTTCAGTTAAGAAAATTTCCCTTCAATATATTAAGTAACAAAAGGAACTGCATTAGAAGTTCCACTGCAGTATAGAACAGAATAGAAGCTAAWTTTTATATTTCAGGTGTGAAACAATAAAAGCATGGTAGAAATATAAATTGACAAAACATTCTCTCATATCCCCACCGTTTTAATCCCAAGCAAATTCCAACCATCCCTAATGSTGGAAAGGTTACAGCCAGCCTCTCAAAGGAGGCACAACTTCAGGGAAGCTGAAACCAACAGTTCAATTATAATTTCACAGAACAATTACTACTACAATCCTGAACAAGATCTTTCAGAACTGGACACCTGAAGATAAATACGAGTTACAAAACAGCACCAAAACTGATCTGATTCTTCATTTTTCAAGTATCAGCACTCACCAGTGATTTTGGGGCAGTTGCTGAGCGCACAGAACTTCAGAAGGCGCTTAAATACAGACTCAAAAAAGTAACTTGAGCCACCCCTATCCTTTCCATTACTTTCAATAAAGTCTTGGCCATGTCTTTTTAATAAAGACATCTGATTCCTGCACACCAGATACCCAGAGCCACAGCAGCTCCYCACACTGGTAGTGACCCACATAAAGTGAAGGACTTGACTCTGTAATGTGCCCATGGCAGCCTGCTCACACAGGATTAGTTTTTGCTGCCCCAGTAACTTATTGAGAAATGAGCTGATGACAAAGAGAATAATTTTTAAAATATATTACAAAAAAAAAAACCAACCTTTTTTTGTTGTGCTCCAATATTCCATGAACTATGTACAATCAGCACAGCCAGCACCTACCAGAGTCAGTTTATCTCTACCCGTGTAGGGTGATGTACACACAAGTCTCACAGTGAAACTCAGTTTTTAGTCTAAACCACATTTGCTTTAAGTTAAGCTATCCAGAAAACAAATTAGATTTCTAATTCAGTAAACTGAATTCTTGTTAAAAATTTAGCTGCAAACTAGTCTGCATCAGAAGGCTGAATATCAATATTTGGTCCAGTCTCTTCTAGTATAAATAACTTACCACTACAGCTATGATGGCAAACATTCTCTCTTTTAAAACATATGAAAATACTCGATTAATAAATAATTTCTAATAAACAAACTCTAAAAATCTGCTGACTTGCCATATAGCTCCAAATACCCACATTTCAACCCAGAACCYAATCCTACAAAGATATCAGAACACAATACGAGGAATTTCACGCATTGTTTTAACTTCTATTATTTCAAATATCATTTAGACAGGTRGGTGTTCATTTTAACATGGAAAATTAAGGGTGATTTTGGTCCCTTTGTAAGTGCATTCTTTTGAACTCCCTGAGTACCATGCATTTCTTTCCTACAGTGATTTYTGACTGGAAGATGGTGAATAAAGTGGTTTTGCATTGCTGCATATAAAGTGAAGTCTTAGAATGAAACACAGCAGCCTAAGATTTTACAAAAYATGCAACTGCATGTTTCAGCATCTGAACTATGCCTTCAGCTTCCCCAGATCTCCCCTCTACGTTTTCCTAGCAGTGGCTAATTTCACATCCACAAAGGTAGTCAAAATGTAATTACTGTTATYATTTATGTCTTGGCAGATAATTCTTACCAATCTACTGTCAGTTATACCTGCAAGTTAACACAATGGAATATTCAAAGCCCTCTTGGACCACCCATCTCTTTTCAGGCACCCCAAGGTCAGTAGCCATAGCTGTGTAAATTTTTAGAAAAGAAACAGAAATTATACTAAAATCAATCACCTAGCTCCACATTTTCAAAACACAGTAGTTCTTAACAGTTAATAATTAAATAATAATAATATCATACCACTTTAATATGAGTACTCATATTGAAGTGTGAGTATAAGCCAAGTACTGACAAAAAACTGTAKTATACCCAGTATCCAATTCCAAAAATAACTGCTGGGTGCAGCAGCACTGTGCATTTGCTTCTTGATATTTCCCATTTAAATGAAAAAAGAAAACTGGGCAGCACATTGAAACCAAATAGAAACTCAGGTAAAATGAGTTTACTTTTTAAAAAATAATTTATAAAATAACAAATAATCAACAGTTCATTATGTAGCAACAATATAAAGAGTTTAAGATTACTGAATCCATCAGTATATACTAAAGATAAGGTACTTTGATACCAAATGAGGCCTCCAGTTTAATTTAAGAACTTTGAATTRTTTAGCTCATTAAAGAATACCTTAAATTCGACAGATATGGCTGAGTCTGTGCACTAGTTAAAATATAATATTTAACTGCACATAAAAAGATGCATTTATATACAGTTTTTACAGTGTATGCACATGTGTGTATACATTTTTTTACTCACCAACAAACACAATAGAGACAATAGAAGGCAGCATAGTAATAAGTGTTTTGAATATAAAAATGCTTTGCTTTCAAATTAGTAGAAAATGTGTAATTTGCATTTTGGCAGACTCACTGGTACAACTGTACAAAACCAGGAAAAAGGTCATGCAAAGGGATTAAAATTCTTCTTCAAAGTAAATAAAGGAAAACAAAAACACCTAGAAGATTTGAGAGTACTTYGCTGGTAATGGGAAAGGCATTTAAAAGAACCATGTAAAATACAGAAATGGTCTGGTTTTGTTACTTTATACTTGGTTGTACCCTAGTACAGATGATGAGGTGTATTTTGATGCTCAATAAAAAATAAAAACATCTTTCTTCTCTTCCTTTCACAAATACTTTGTCAAACTCAACCTATTTCAAAAGCATAATGGTACAATGGCCATCAAAAAAAAAAGAACACATCGTGGACATAAAATATTGCAAAAACAATAAGCAGACTCAAAAATATATTTTTATCTCACAATTACACTTGTTTAAAAAAAACCAACGAAGTTTTTACAAGGTCAGACCAACTATCACCTTTTCCAACAAACTGGTAAGTACACTCCCTGTACATCCCGTAGCAGTTGTTCTTACACACAAGGAAATGTCTCTGAAGGAATTCAGCTGGTTTGTATTTTTTTTTTAACAAATTAGTGTAACTCTTTTGCATTTCACTGGGTTGTTTGTTCTATTTTAGCTGCAACGTCTGACATGCTCCAAAACATACTCAGGAAAGTGCAGGCTGCACACTTGTAACCCATCCAGCTTGCAYGGCATCCTTGGATATTCATCTTCTTTCCATTTGTTTTCCTCTGGATCAAAGGTGAGAATTGAATCACTGTAATGACCGTTGTAACAAAGGCCTCCAAGAACCATTATCTGTTTGTCCAGAACAGCTACACCATGACCACTCCTACCTATTGGCATAGAAGCCAATATAGTCCATTGATCAGTATCGGGGTCATAAACCTCTGTGGATGGACAYCCTTGAGATTCAAATGAGGCTCTCAGGATCACACAGACACCACCAAAGACATAAAGCTTACCATTATAAGAAATCATTTTGTGAAAGCATCTTGCATAATTCATTTTGCATTTGTTCTCCCAACAGTTAGTGACCACTTGAGTCCTCCTTGTTCGCTGCTCTACTGTCCCTTCTTTACTGGGATCAAACACACACACTTGCTTAGAAGTTGAGGATGATGTAATTCCACCAGTGATATATAACTTGTTACCAAGCACAGTCCCCTCATGTCCATACTTATTGACTGGATAGGGATCCACAAATTCCCATTTATCTTCAGTAATATCATAGCGTTCAGTTGAGTAAAACGTTTCATCCCTGGTTCTCCCAGCCACTGCATAAACATACCTCCCAATCACTCCAACAGCAAACTCAGAACGTGGCACAGACATGTCTGCCATCCGTAACCAAGTGTTCTGTCTTGGGTCATATCTAAACACTTTGGATGAAGCATGGAACTCACCATCTGGCCCCAGTTCTTCCCCACCTAATAAGAATACAAAGTTATTTACAATGGCAAGGCAATCTGGTCGTAAAGGTACTTGAGGACCTTCTAGTTCCCACCAGACCCTCGGTTTGTGCAAGAGAAGAATTTTACTGTTTACCATACTGTGTCCTATCATTCCTCTAAATACTGCAGTCTGGGGTTTGGCAGAACGAATTTTGTTCGATTTCATTTCCATCAAAGGCTGTTGGTGAACGCTATGAAAGTAATTCATGGCTTGGTCAACTTCATGTCGCAGCTGCCGGGAGTATCGATAAAACTCTGATGTTTTTACCTAYGAATACATTTAAAAGACATTAAAATTCTGACCAAGAGAAACAATCCAGAAAACCTAAACCACTACGTGTCATTAGAAATTATTTTACTTTGTTTCATTCAGGCAATCTTGAGAGCAATTGCATTTATGCATGAAGGTTTAAACTGATATATTGTTATCCAAAATCCAGAAGGCAATTTAGTGATTAAGAGCAGTGACTCACTTTTTCAGCAGAATAATCACATGCAGAATTTATGCCGGAATTAGGCACAACTGAAATCCCCAAGTCTAAAAAATCATTACTCCTTCTTCCAAAAAAAAACTCCTCTTCATCTTCTGCTTAATCAAAAAAAGCACCCAAATTAAAAATTCACTYTTTTCCTGGGTTTCAAAGACACTCTACACACCCATTCTGTGGTTACCAAGGTCTACTCCAGTTTGATTTTTTTTTTCTGAATTCTCACAATGAAGTCTGAGCTCCCAAATGCTAGCCTCTGCTCGCAGGGCTATTTAATTGCCATGGAGGGGAGGGGAAGGTACATATTCCCCTTCCTTCAGAATATGTGCTTACACCAACCACTCATCATGATGATCACCTTAGGGTTTCCCCTCTGTGAGTCTCCACAGGTTAAAAAACGCCTTTAACACAAGAAGGAGACATGGCAACTTGGTTGTGCATTTCTTTGGCAAACTGCAGAGGTACTAAACTTCCACTTCCAGGTGATAGTTACAACCTTTGAATTACCAGAGTAGTGAAGTGACAAGTCAATTTGAAAAGAGCCCTGCCTGCTCAGTTTTATTGGAGTTGTAGGCACAAGGGAGAAGAATAATTCCTTTCCAGGATCGTTCCTACTATCTAAGCCAATTTAAGTTGCTGAGGTTGCTCCTGAGACCATTCCAAAACACATCTCAGTCTTGAATATTTTAATTTATCTAGCTTGAGGCAGTTCTCYGCTCACCGTGGGAATCTCTTTAGAGGCTTCACTCTTGCTGTATAGTCAGGTGTAACACAGCATCCTGAATCACACTTCTAAAACAAACAAAAAACTGCTASATGTTGCCAAATCCACAAATCCTCAATCCGATTTGATCTTAAGTCCTAGTTTCTTTCACGTAAAACTGGATTGCTTTCACACAGTCTGAATGCCTTTAGTACCCATCAGCTCCAARTAAAAGAAGTAATGCTTTGAAAAAATGTGAGGTCACTCAGGAATTTCAAGTGACCAGAAGGTAACACCAGAAGCTACTATTTTTAAATATCTTTTATCCCACCTCCTCCTATTCTCTGTCCCAAAGAATAAAAGCCTGTATCATCACTCATCTCAAGGGTGGTGGTATGAATTTTGATGTATATGGAAAGCAATTTGGAAATTAATGTTCTTTATACCCTGTCAATGAAGTAGTTGCTTGTTCCATAAACAYGTACTATTTAAATGTTGTTAGCCTTCTGTTAGACATCTCTTCCTTGTATAGTAATTGAGACATTTTGCTGTCAAAGAATTGTTTTTTAAAAAAAGTCTTTTGTACTGTTATTATTCAATGTAATTTGCATTTTCTGAGATCATTTGACACATCAGACTTTTAAAAAAACCCTGAAYAGCAACCTACTATTGTAAAGCAATGTACAGCGCAAGAGTGACAGTGACCTGATGTTTTTATTTACACTTTTTCTTTCCTTCACTTAATTTTGACAAGTTCAACTTATCTCTATTGGAAAAAAAGAAGATGGTCACATGAAGATCACATATATTATTCTTGCACCTTTGTCCAACTTCTTTCTACTGTTTTTACCAGAAGTGATTTTGGAGCAAAAAGGTTTACTCAGGTACGGTACTAAGAGATCACCCACAGCAAGCCCAACTCTTCTGGGAACAACAGCTCCATTTTCTTGTTGCAAATAAAGAATACATCATACRAAGAAAAATCTGCTCATATGGTATTTGTTAGAATAAACCATATACCTTGCCTGACTGAAAAGACTGAATACWAATTACACAAAATATGCTGACATGGAGAACCACAGCACAGAAMAATGCTAACATATAAAGGTTACAAAAAATGAAAAAGGAAGTTAAAATAACAAAGAATCATGGCTGGGCTACTTTATCCTTAAAAGGAACTTTCAAATTCTAAAACAGCAGGACTACTTWAGGTATTCCCAAATTGGAGCTATCATCTTTGAAATTAAATAAAAATATATATTATCTTTGTTCCACCTATATGTAGTTCAGATTTTCTTGGATAATCATGGAAGACAACAAGATCAACATGCTTACAATGTGAAGCATACCAGTAAAATCTGGCAGAGATGGAAAATTGTTTTCTTTCTCCCTCAACATTTACAACTCTGTCATTAGATCTAGAAATTGAAATGCCAGCCAGAAACTAGAATTAAAATAAGCCTACATCCTCACCACTCTACTCCTTCACACAGCCTAAATCTCATCCCATGAGTGCATGCCAAAGGCAGCAAGAAGTGTCTAATACCAGAGACAGGCCCTCAAGATCAAGGAATCAACCTATTTATTACTGCTCATCTCAACAAAGGCACTCACGACAAAGCAAAGCCTCAAGTTCTTACTTTAAACGAAAAAGACACCAAGGAGCAAATCCAACACCCCATTATTAACACCCTCTGTGACTGAAGTTCGTGCAGAAGCTTCAACAAACACAAATTTGAAGAGCTGAACATGAAAACTAGCAATTCTTAAAATACGCAGGAAGAAAATCCCTGTAGTGATTGATTACCTCAGTTCTGGTAAGAAAAGGTAATTGGAGCATTCCTAGACTTGGCTGTCATGGAAAAATATCCCTGCTTTTAGCCMTCCAGCCTTGACCAGTATAAGCTCTACCATACAGGAGCAGCATCTCACCTGAAGCTCAGAGGATGGGCTACAATGAATTTTAGGGAATGCCTACAGGAAAATTATAGACTGCTCACACTTGCTTGATGCAAATGAAAACAAGGCAAATGTAGGTGATTTGGCCCACTTTCAGTTGCACACAGAAATATTCCAGAATGATCTGAAAGCCCTGTTCAGCCCACAATAAGGAAAACCCTCTGCCTACACTTTCAAATAATTTCACAGTAATTTTCATTACTTGTGTGTATAATCAAAAAAGAGAAGCATTAAAATTTAGGTAGTTTGGTATTTAAAACAGTTGTAAGTCATGTATGTCAGCCAATGAAAGCACATGGCCTTTKGTGGGAATTTCTACCTGACATCCAACACATGCAGGAAATCCCTCAGTTTTCAAAAGCTTTCAAAACTAGGCTCTGCCACTACCTCTAAGTAGCAACAAGTTACTGATCAGCAAATATCTAAGTGCTTATCAACAGACCAGAATTCCTGTTAAGTTCAAAGAGAGAAGCTCTGGAAGGAATGTGTCCATAATTTCCAACACTCAAGCAGAACACACAGATTTCTGCAAAACAGATGGAAACGTATATTAATTGTGATGGACCCTGAAGTAAAATGAGTGTGCATTCCTAAAGAGTACATCATGCACTCTGAATTGATAAAAATATATAAATGCTTCAAAGCATTTTCAAAGTTTAAAGAAAAACCATTCTGTTATCTTGCTGAAAGGTCACCAAGCCAATTTAAGTTGGACTTCCTTATCAACACCAGTCTTACTGTAAAAAATAGAATTTAATCCAAGTGCTAAAGCTTTGTTCATGTGATTCTTTTACATTCTTTCCAATTTTTTCTCTTTAATTTTCTGGAGAAAATCTTCTTAAAGAGGTTATGCTGAGACACAGCCCTAATTTAAGAGTTTCCTCAACATCTCCAGAGATGGAGGATGAGAGCTATGTCAATGTATCTACCAGTTACAGTGGTTTGCAGTCAGACTTTTAGCTACACAGACTGGGAACAATGGCAACAAAATCAGATGTGTCATTCCATAATAAAASATGTAAAAATAACTAAAAACACCAACCCCTCTACTTGCCCCCTTGGCAGTCAATACCAAAATCACCATCCCTCTAGAGTAAATTTGAGCTTTAATGCATTTTGTCATCTTCATTTTAAATCAGTGAAACATTCCATTAAAACTGCTGGCTTTCCAAATTAACATAGCTATTAATCATTGCCTATTTTTCTRCTGTATTGCAATGTATGCTTTCTAGTTGTAGCAGCTATGGAAGTCTCAGAATCTTYAATTTATATTATATGAAGAAGTAAAACAAAAATTAAGCCATTAATTTCTAATTTGAAAGGTGATCCTYACTAAAGACCAGCTGTATCCCATATTATTTTCATCAACTCTCCCCCACCCTCAAAACAATTACACTATTTAAAAAACTACAGGAAGGCCAATGAAATGCAAGGTAAACGTTCTGTAACACATCTGACTTCAGTGTAGATTTAAAAAATAAAACTTTCCTCATACAACCACTTATAGATACTGCTTTATTTGTGTTCTTGTTACTTAGGTTTATAAGAAAAAGCTTTCAAAATCAGAAATAAAGGCTTCTTTTGAACTTCCCAAACTAAACATCTATTACTTTTGCACCTGGTAACTGAACTGTAGCATGTTATTGGTGAAAAATCTCCAMAGACAAACAAAAACAAAAGCACAGAAAAATCTGGATGCCTCATAATGTAACTTTATCATCTCTAGTAACAGAAGCTTTAAAATAGTTCTCTGTTTCCAACTTATTGTGCTTAAGTTTTCTAAAWCTGCCAATTCTGAATGTGTAAGAGATGCACCTCAAACTCAGATAGTAGGAGTACAGAAGCAATGCTCCATCTTTTCAATGAATAATRATGGCATGTGTATCAGACTGCTAAAGACTAAATTCTTACCCTTACCCAAAAAATAAAACCCAGCTTATTTTAATAGATACTAACCTGAATCAAAACTAAAGATCCTTCAACTCTGCTAACAAGGATCTTTATTATTTTCACATCTACGTATCTCTGGCCATATTCTAATCACAATTAWAAGCTGGTATGAGAACTGGTCAGTACCAGTAAAAGGCTTTGAAGAGCTATTCTGCAAGGGCTACAAATCACTTAAGTGTTTTCAGCCTAACCACAGAAAGGCACACCCTCCGTGCAACAAAAATCATGCCCTCAAACTGATTTTCTGGCTGTTCCTTTTTAGAAAAACTAGCAAGAGAAATTGTCAAAGTCAAGCTGGAGTCAAACCAGAGTGGAATCAATCATCTATATGACACAATTAAGAAGCTCAGCACATAATAAATACTGCTGGCAAATGTATTCAAATCAACAATAACTTTAACAATCAAAAATACTAAGCACAACACATACAATAAGAGGGGYCCCCTAACCTCACCCTACCTTCTTATTCTAAGCTTCAGCAAACAAAGCTGTCTAAGTAGATACACATTTACTATAAGACATAGAGGTAAATCAGAAAAAAAATTAATTCATCACATTTATGAAAGGTAAAGTCACAATAGCATAAATGACATCTTCTCAAAAATCACTGTTTTCTAGGCACAAGACAGCAGWTATTAAAAGATAATGTGCCATGCATCCTACCTCTACAGCAGAAGCTGATGAACCTAGAGATTAGTAAGTTTTTGATTTAAGTTGGTAATTTATAAATCAGCATGGGCTAGTCCTAACAAACCTTACAGACTGGACACTAAAAAAAATATTTTTTTAAACATTTCAATCTGAAGAGTACACAGAAACTAAATGGAGCTTAAACAGTGTATCAAGGAAATCATTGTATCATTATATAGTTTCCTCCAGTACCTATATAATGAAATATAGTTGGAACTACAGGCACTGATTTAAACTTTAAATTGTACACCTCTCAAAAAAATGATGTAAGGAACAGAATGGCTTAAAAGGCCAAAAGCATCCTTACTATGTCTTGCAAAGTTATATAAGTTATTTATAAACTACAATGATAAGCATCTGAGAAATGTGTATTAGAAAAATTACATARAAGTACATATGACAAGACAGCCAGTGTATAGCAAATACAGAGTTTGCTGAACTAAAAGAGTCAACCTCAGACTGTACTGGTATACCTTTGCAGGTATTCAGTATGTGCTGGCTTCAGGAAGAGGGTAGAATTCTGTTTGTGGATCTTGGTTCCAAAAACGGGGCAGTTTTACCATTATTTCCCCATTCTACACACAGAAATGGGCTCTCCCTGGGTTACTGCCAGAACAGTGAACAGACATACTCTTTTACAAAAAAAAAAAATCAAGTGTTCTATATTCTGATGCTGGCTCCAACTGCAGTTGTCCATTACTACTCTCTAGCCAGGGTAGAATTCAAATGCATTCCTAGCTGCAGTAACAAATGGCATAATTAGCTCTACTTCTCTCTGCTGAGTTGTCYCACTCCATAATCTGCACTGGCTTTTCTCTGCTTCTACATACACTTAACAGAAAGGGTATTTGCTGAGAAAGTTTTTACATGCTGAACACAACTTCTCTCCTGAAGTTGTACTTATTGGGCCATTTAGTAGCTGTCAAGATAAAACATGAGAAGCACTGCATGCAGGATTTATACCAGTGATATCAAAACCAGCTCCAGGAGTTATACCTAAATATGGTGAAGACCAACATCTATTTTCACTTGCACTTACAGAAATTTAACTGAAGACAGCTTGSTGCTTGAGCTTATATCCCTGAAACTCAAAGAGCTGAAACAGGCTCGCACAAATCCTACCTTATTAGATTAACCTCAAAAAAAAGAGTTGAGAATTCTGTAAGTTTTATTACTGAAGGGCTGAAATGATGTAGTAATATGGTAGAAGTGCTATTTAAAACAAGACACTACACAGGATCCTGCAGAGTTCAGCTCCTACTAGTTAAAAATGTTTTAACACAATATAAACATTACATTAGTGTTTTAAAATATGTTTAGGTATTAATTTTATGTCTACAGTCTAGTATAACATCATAAATATATTTTACGTATTACTTCCTATACTCAATTCACACACACAGAAAGAAATCCGAACTATAAAAATTCACTAGTCTGAAGTAATTAATAGCTCTTACAATTTGAAATACAAGAAAGTGTAAGAATTACTACTTGGACAATCCAGTAGCCCTTAAAACCACCAAAAYCAATAAAACCTTGCCCGTGTATTCACTACATACTCAAGTAAAAATATATGGGAAATTAATTTGTAAGAAGCACAACAAAAACACAGGGTCTGAACTTCTCCTAATTTGCTGAGAGGAAAAATACAGAAGYTGTATCTTATCACACAAAATTAACATTGTTAAAACAGCACAGATAAATAATTTCTAACTTGAACACTTGTTACTGGCCTGTAAGAGAACTGCTTACAAAGTATKGTAATCCTCTACTGTTAACAAGTATTCAGAGATTCTCATGAACTAGAAAACAATAATTTTTTTCTGTTCTTCAACAGAAGAGTAGAAACAGCAAGTTCTCTTTTAACTCTTACTACATACAATGAACAGTTGAACTGTAAGATCACCTGTTACAAAGAATCCTCAGATTTAAAGTAAATAATCACATTTGATACCTTCAATAATTTTTGATTGTATTATGTCTTGTGTACAACCAAGAGTATGCAGGATCTTTAACTGCTCTGTAACAGCACAAGCACTGAAGATACAACAACAAAAACACTCTGCAGATTAAAAAGCAGATGCTGCTTTTCATTAGTAAATAATCCTCCCCTGTACTTAAGCCACATAAGATCTACAATCACTATTTTTTTATTATATTGACAACAATTTTCGTAACATACACCCTACATATTATGTGCAGGTCTAAAGCCTCTGGAAAACAAGAAGCAACTTGTGGAAAACAGTTAAGAACGTTTGAAGTCAAACTAGAGACAAGTGACCTTATTTCAAAATGTCTTTTCCATATAAAAACACGTGTAAACAYGTACTGCAAACCTACCTGTTCTCCAGCCACTGTAGGTGTTATTGTCTAATAACCAAAGACAATACTTTCAGATATTTGCCTTCTATGCTTTTATTAGAAAAATAAATGCTATCACTTTGTTCCTTGTCATGGCTTTCRGAATCTTACCTATTTAATGGCATGCTGCCCTARCTAAATGATGAATCCTACCTATTKCTTTTCAAATGCACCAACCTTCTCAAAAACACTGGATGGTGTCATCAAACAAAACCTGATATTCTGAATGATGGTGTCCGTGTGCCTCCAGCGTCTTCTATCATGGCGCAGCCAGGCCTGAACAGCTTCATACAGCTCTATCTCTGGAAACCTGCTCAGATGATCATTATCCAAGTAAGACATGAGCTTCTCAAAGCTCAGATATGAAAGGAAGTCAGGTCTGGACATGAGTGGCACAAAATTCTCTAGCAGAAAGGAATCCAGTTTTTCCCTGACTCCTTCGATGTTTACACCAAAATCATCCAGAAGTCTCATAATTTCTGCACAGTTTTCTAAGCAGATTTTAGCTAAGAGAAAAGAGCAGCAAAACTTTACCACCTCTATAAGCTGGACATACATGGCAGCCTGAAGGATTTCATGAACAGTGTTCATACTCAGTTCAATTGTTCCATAGTACATGAATTGGAGGACATGACTGAAGCCTGTAGCTGTCAGACCTTTCAGATGGATTTTGTCCTGATCTCGTTCTCGCATGTCAGCTGTGAACATAATCCTGAAGTAATCACTCTGGGTGGCAAGCAGTGCTTTATGGGCCTGAAATTGGTGGTCTTCAATGACAAGTGTGACATCAAGWAGCAATCCCTCCTCATACAGTGCTCTGAATCCTGCAGAGACACTGGTGTCATGGATGGAGGAGCTAAACCCTTCCACGTCCCCTGCCATGAATCACCTGAGGAAGAAAAAAAAAAAGTAAATTGTAATATCTAATAACATATTACAAGCCCTTCCTCACCAGATAAATCCTGAGATTGCTTTTATTAGGACTTAAAAGTCTTCACCATCCTTTTTGTTTTCTCTCCAGCTGAAAAATCAACTTAAGACATAACTTAAAACACAAACTGTAAGTATTTCTCCCCCAACCAACCATTCTCATTTTAAAGACAGGGTAATGAATAAGAATAACTATGCAACACTGCCAAAATTATCCTTTACTTTAAGTTAATTCATGGTCATATAATGAACTAAAAAGGTTGTCATAGTTTTTTACCTCTTCCCCCCTCAATCATTCTAAAGAATTTATCCCAAGGGAGCAATAAAACACCCACTCTTGAATATCAAAGGTTTCAGAAAGGAAGCCAAACTTCCTTAACTTCAGAAACAAGCTTCAGTAGATTTGTACATGGTATGTTAAAAAAAATTCCCTTGTTTATTATGTTCCCTTGCTTATTATGTTTTAAAAATCTATGTTAATTTACTCATAAATTATTTGTGAAAATGAACATTTGCAGAGATACTGTTTGAGATTGTGTGCTTCACCTCAGTAAAAACACAGTCCCATCAGGTCCCACCCCATTTCTTACTACAGTGATAAATATTAGGTTACGAGATTTATGAGGCACAAAACATTAAGGCAATAAGAAGCACTRACAAAAATAGGTCTCAAAAATAATGTTCTGTATAGTGGGCTTAACAAAGCTTAATTTCTCATTAAGCATTTGCAGATACAGCGTTACTTACATGCAAACTATGATTAAACTGCAAATAAACCAAAAAGAAATCTAAGAATAGTAGGATCCTACCCAGTTRAAGTCAAGGAAGATAAATATTCAATAATCAAAATTAAAACCTATTCAATATCCAGAAATGTATCAAAATGTCGTTCAACTTCCTTGGGTTTAAGCAGGGTGAAGTTGCAGAAGGCAGCTWGAACCAATTAATTTATCAAAGGACAAGAGGACACTCCATTCTCCTTCTAAGTCTCATTCCAGGACCTGAGTTCCTGCTGCCTACTTTGAGCCATTTCTGGGGTTCATTTGGCTTCCCCAGAAAGTCAATTCAATTAATAAACATGACTAAAAAATAAACTAAGTGCAGGAAGGGACAGAYGCAAAAAAGACACGTGACACAAACATGATCACCCCCACTCCTCAGCACACACAAAACCTCAAAACTAGAAATCTTTCTCTTTCCCAGAGCTGACTTCCAACTTGACACYGTGGGGTTTGGCACAAGAACCATCCTAATGCAGAGGGCAGGACATATACTTGAGCAGGAACAGAGAAAGAGCAATAACTTCCCTGTTTGGCATTAATTTACTACTAGAATTGGTTCAGCTACTTTTGCTCCATCATCCCACCTTAAATTACACTGCAACTTTCCCTCAGGTATTTGTTGCATTTAACTCCGAATTTCCTATAACAAATAAAACTATTAAGTTTTTGGTACCGGTAACCCACATGAAAAACTAAATAATACCAACGCATTAGAAAAACCTGCAGATTCTSAAGGTCATAAACATTGACMCAAGTATATGAACCCAGAAGTGACTCAAGGGTACCCCATTTTTCACAGCCTCAGAGAGCAGTTACCCCCACTTCATTACCCAACTTMCCCCYACTTCATCAAACACCACTTTCTAGCTGCTGCCATTGTAACTGGAATGCATTTTATTAGAATCCATCAATGGATAAACATCTCCTCTCCTTCACTCCTCAGCACACATCCTGGAAAACCAAACTGGAGACACCCTTTGTCTGYGTGAAACTACASTGGTGAGTGGGTGTTTGTAGCCACACCTCWWGGAATTAGCACCACTCCCACACTGTTGAAGTCTGACGATGGGTTCTCATAATAAAGTCAATGCTGGGAGTGTTCATYACAATTAAGGCCTTCTCACAAAATATAAATTCCTGAAAGTTAGAGCAGGAACAAAAGAACAAAGATGACAATCCATTTGCTTTCTTACCAGTATTCAAGATAGCACATTCCCCTCAATGTCAGTGAAGACAAAGAGAAACATGCAAACTGCTCTGGAATCTCATAGTGTGAGTCTCTTATTTCTCAATATTAAATGCCTACCAGAAACAAAAATTACCATCAGATATTTTTCTTAGTTGTTGCCAATTCTTACACAAAAGCAGATRAGGAAACAACCACTTCACTAATGTACAACCTCAAAAAGAAGCAACCAACTGAAGAGGAAGCACAAAGCCTGACTTTACAGGATTTTGTTTTCTAATTGGATTTCTGATATCAAATAAAAAGGTAAGCACCAATATCAGCTTTTTTTCTTYTTTCATCAGAGTACTTGTAACTCATCTCCTCCCATCCCCATTCTCTGATGTTTAATAATAGCTGAGCTCATGCCTCAGTCTTTCCCATTCAAGAGATTTAACGATCACTTGTCTTTAAATGGGCCACTCATTTTCATAAAACATACAGCAACTTGAAACAACTCTCACTGCTGTCTGAAATCAGCCAAGAGGTTCCATGGTTACAAGGACTCTCAGACAGTAAAACTGTGTAAGTTACAGTGTTTTAGGAAACCAGCTAAGATTTGGCTCAGCTTTAGTTCCGTGAGGGTTAAAAATGGAAAAGGACAATTGCAATTTGAAAATCTGAGAACATGAACAGAATAACACAAGAATGTATTGGGAGAAAAAAAAAGAAACAATGAAATATTTAATCTCAAAAAAGAAAAATTGTTTCAATTAAAAAATGAAACAACATTCCCCAGGTGACTGAAACAATATATATTCATCTGGAAGTAATGAGATGTCCCATCACACAGGCAATCCTACTGAAGGSATTTCTTCAAAACATGCATTAGTGTGTACCTGAACAACATAGAAAATCCCTAGCAGCAAGGTCCAAATAGATAGTAGGACCTTTGCATTACCTTGACAAAAATAATTACATTATGGGTACTCCACAAATAAAAGGAGACAAATTAACTTGTACACAGCATGGCCCTAAAAGAAAAGCCTTTTCCACCATCCTCCAAGAAGCAAAAAAGGAAAAGTTGGCAAGCGAAGTTAGGCACAGAGACATGGCAGACACACCTCCAATGTAGCTTTCAAGGATCAAAACAAATCATACTCAAAGAAAGAAACCAAAACAAACAAAACCTCCAAACAAAAGAAAAATATAAACAAACAAAACACAAACAAAAACCCCCAACCAAACCAGCACCAGAGAGTTACAGGCAACTGGTTGGCTCTAGGTGGCCCAGATGACCTCCAAAGGTCCCTTAGAACCTCAATTAGTCTGTGTATCTGTGATCATGTTGCTTTTACACAAACAGTGCATGGATGTGGGGCTTTTTTTTTTTACAACCTCCTTTTTAATTCTGATCAAATAGAAGTAAGACAAACATAAACACAAAAAAAATCATGTTATGATCCTTCAAATTCTACTATCCTTCAAATTTTAAATCTAACAAGGCAGGAATCACTGAAATATTGAGAAATAAAAACCACCTGTGTTTACAGAACATCTTTTAGGACACCAATTTTTACATCTCCCTGCAACTGGCTATTCCATAAAAACAAAAAWAAAAWTAAAACTCTTAGCCACAAATCTCCACAAGGATAACRAAGTGGTCAACACTTGGAAATTATKATTTCTGAATGTTTTAAAAATGTGGGTGTTTAAGTCACCTAATCCTTCTTTTCACATTCCTGTTGATGCTACTTTTAGCTAATCTACAGTTTTCAACATTAAAATATTATTCCTCCCAAACAGCAGTGAGTATTTAATGGATTATTTAAGTAGACACCAAACCAGTTAGACTTCTCCTTACACCATCTAAAGAAGCTTCAGAATTCTGTGAGTGAAAAGCAAATGGACTATTTATGCTCCTGCATTAAATAAAAGGAGAAAATATCCTTTTTTTGGCAAAAAGCCATATCCATTACCAGCAGATAAATCTTTCTTAAAAACAAAAAAATGCATAGCCAGTGCAAATACACAAAGGAGTTAAAATAGTATGAAAACTGGGAAAGTAGATAAGTAAATGCCTATTATGCTTAACTGGTAAAAATCTTCATTTCTAAAGCTAACATCCTCCATCAAAAGCAAACAGCAATRTTGTAGTTCAAACATTAAAAAAAGCAATACAAAATACTCTCAAATGAAGTAATTTTTCTAAAGCATAGCTATGCCATTCCACCCACACACACACTTGCAATCTTTGATGTAATTCTATGCACTATTCAAATGCTGCAGTTATTTCCCAGAGGACAATATATAACGATTTTTTTTTTCATATTTTCAATAAAAATGGAAAATTCAGTTAGATTTCCTTCATGCATGCAAATCACAGCAGCACACTTAATCCTAAGAAAGACATGGAGCCTGCAGTCATCTGTAGGAAAACTGGAACAAAAATATTCCAATGTATAAACAATGAAAGGGAGGTGGAGGGCAATCTACATTGATGCCCATTATTGTTCTGCACATATTAGAGCTGATCAGGGTAATGCAGCACAGGAAATAAGACTCAGCTGAAAAGCCAAAAGAGAAATACATTTAACCATATTAGCTGTTCCTGACATTTCTTCGTCTTTTAGCACATAATGCATTAGAGTCTACAGTGCTGTGACTGCAAAACCACTTACTTGGAACACTGATTTCTCATCTTTATTCTGCAGACGTAAAAAAAAGTCTGAAAACCCTACTCCAGACTGCTTTTCCTTGCTAAACAAGGAGAACCTTCCTTCCTCAGGGTGTCTGAGACTCTTAGTCACAAGCTGAAGAAATGGAGTCTAAATGCACTGGCTATTGAGAAGCAATTTATAGAATACCTGCTTTTGACTCATGTCCTGCTTTTGGATTTAAAATCTCTCCAAAAGTGGTACTATCYGAAAAAGGGCCCTTTAAGCAAGAGTCTTTATGTAATATACAAGCTTATATGCACTTTCTAGGGACAGAAATATATTGCTCTAGGAAAGTATTGACAATACCAAGTCTAGCACACCAGCTCAAAGGAAAATTTATGCTTTCCTCTTCTATGGCTCATTAGGAACTTATTTGAGATGCTGAGACAGAACTATCAAGTTGCTTTTGTTTACTGATTATGAAGTACTTGCCCATTCTACCTATCCCATAGATTTTCTAAGAAATCACCTATGTGAAAAAGCCAAACAACAAATTTTCACATAATAAAACACTATTATGTACAAGTTACACATTGGAAGATATTTCACAAGACACACACAACCATGCTTTGGTCATACAAAGTACTAAAGCAAAGCTTAAAATGCAATAATCTCTTCCATCCACCAAATGCATGTATTTAAATATAAATTTTAAAGCCATTATGCATGCTTTATTTTGGTGAGGTGTGCAGCAAAGGCTGCCCAGAGCAGAATTCTTTGGCCCTAGTTTTCTTMACACACTTTTCTGCAGGAATAGGACATTTCTCTGCAGTCAAATGTTATACACACATAGGAAAATACAATACAAACAATGTATTTGAGCACACTAGCAAACATCCACAACTGCCCACATGGCTGAAGGCTGGGCCWCTGAATGCAGTGAACTGTATTGAGTAAGAATGCAATTATACCATATAAAGTAAAAATTTATTCCCCWAATTAAACCTTTGTTTACATGGTTTGACACTGGTTTAAAAACATTAAACCTTGTCCACCATTTTTCATCATAAWTTCCCACTAACTGCAACAGAAGGAGTGATGTGATGTAGGATAGATCAATAACCAGTGGCTATCAAAACTTTCCACTGCTACAACAGTGGCAAATGTAGGGAACAAAGAAATACATCCAGTTTCCATGTGTTTTATCTTAAATACTTTATATTGAATACACTAAATTTGGGAAAAAAATTTATCTTAAACACATTGGTATGTTCATGTTTAAGACTTCAGACAATTCATCTTGTGAATTCCAAAAGCACTGGATTACTTGAGAAGCGAAAAGTTAGGAGTTTACCAATCACTACCTGTCAGAGGAACCAGACTGCCAGAACTCCAGTAACTACAACGTGGCTGCTTCTGAAAACTGTCCATGCTCCATTTCTTGGGGCACAGAGCTGATCAGGACAGCTCCTCTGATAACCTCTGCMAACGCTGTTATCTGGGAGCAATCTGAATCAGTTCACAGCAACAGCAGCACTTCATTTCAGTGCTCTCTGAGGCCATCAGCAGCATTATCAGAAATAGYTACAACTAAATCTACCAAATCTCAGCATGGATTGTGCCTCAGCTCAGTACAGTTATTATTCACTCAAAGGGTGCCAGAAGTGGTAACTTCACTTCACAGGCACTAAGATAGCTTGAACCATCTGTCTAAAGGGTCATTGCACATGACAGCTGTACAGAAAAACCTGCTCCCAAACACAGAGCAAGCTCAGCTCAAAGCTCTTCCAATTGCATTTACTGACACCAGAACAGGTGCCCTGTATAAAATAGCTGATACATCCACATAAATAAGAATTGCCTTTAACAAGAAAAACTTGTATTACTAATACCCAAAAGCTGAATGATGATGTTGAAAACTACAGATTTGCTACTACTCTCAAAGTGGACTGCACTCCCTGAGTGACAACAGTTCTTATACATATGTATTTTTGGCTTATAGAATCACTTWTTTTTTTTCAAATGTAAGAAGGCATGAGTAAACCATGATTTTCTCACTGTGAAGATATTAAGAAAATTATAGTATTATCTGTATTTTATACAGAAAAGTAACAAGTATCTCAGTTACAGAAAATCTAATCCTATCTTTTTTGACTTACCACATAAATTTTAAGCATAAGAAAGAATGAGCTACAAGTAGTATTTGAACTATATTAGTAAAAATATTTTTAATCTCAATTAGGACTGTTAAACTACCCTTTCCATTTGTCTTTTTGTTATATGTATCTATGTTGCTCATTTAGTYAATGCTCCGAGCATCTTCTGATAAAATTATACTAATCATGCCCTTTCTTCAGGTTTTGACCTCACTGTCAAATGTCAAACTCACTTGTCAGAAACACAGAAATCTCAAACATGTTTAATTTCTACACATATTCTCCAAACTAACAGCTAGATGAATGAAAAAGGTCTGATGTCTCCAGAGTGAGCTCAATGGTTATMTGCTGTGCTCTGCATGCTGAAAGGCAAATCAACACATGTGTAGATCCAAACCAGCCACAGGGTATAATTAAGGAAAGTGAAAGGTGATGAGTGTCAGTGAGAAAGTTTATAGGACATGTGGTAGAAATTAAACACGTTTGCTAGGTGTTGGAAGGGAAAAGACAGGAAGTATGTTGGTGCATGGTAGTATGCTCAGGGGATCTGAATATGAACTGGGGCAATGATGGTGCAAGAGGTGGGTTATCCTACGGGCAAGTATATGTAACATGCTTCAGTAGTTCTGATCTTTTATCCAGTAATAGCTTTATGGTTCTCCTATTCCTCTTCTAAATGGGGGGGAAGGGACACCCAAACTCCAAACAATAAAAAGGCAAGAACTTCAAATTCTTAAGTGACGTTTCACTATTTACCAAATTGATCAAAGCTCTGGTACCARTTCTGGGTAGCTCTACTCGTTCAGATCACGGCTACTTTTTTTCACCATCAGCTACGCTGGGGGAGAAATAGTCATTTTCGGGGCAGGAACTCAGCTGACCTACTTCAGCCTGTCTACTCGCACACTCCGCCCCGCTCCGCCGTGAGCAGAGCTCGCAGGCCGAGCTCCCGGGGAGCGGGGCCGGCAGGCCCGGGGTCCGTAGGAACCCGAGAAGCCCGGCGGGGCTGCGGCCGTCCCGGACCCGCCAGGCTTTAGGTACGCTCACCCGTGCCCGCTCCCCGCTCCAGCCCGCCTGCTCCCCGCCCGCCGCCCCCAAGCCCGGGGAGGAGGGCTCCTGAGAGCCAGGAGGGCTCCTGAGAGCCAGGAGGGCGCCTGGGCCGGCCTCGATGGGGCGGGCGGCGGCGGCGGGAGGGCCCAGGGAATCCTTCACCCACCTCTCTGCAGCGGCGGCGCTGAGGACGCGGCTCCTCCCGCTGGAGCGGCGGAGAGGGGSCCTCGCTCCGTGTACCATACAGCCGGGGGCGGCGGAGGGAGGCGCCGGGGGGCTGCGGAGAGGGGCAATGGCTGAGGCGAAGCCGGGAGGAGGAGAAGGAGGCGGAGGAAGAAGGGGGGATCCTGGGCTCCCTCCTCCCCGCCGTCCGCGCTCGGGGGGGAGGTGGGAGCCGCCCCCGCCGCGCCGCGCGGGCACCAGCGCTCCCAGCCCGGCCCGACCTCGCCCCCGGGGTCCCCGCCGCCCTCACGCTTGTTTACCTTCCGCGCTGCCCCGCGCGGCCGCGGGCGCCATGTTCCCCCGGCAGCACCGCGCCGGCCGTCACTTCCGCCGCACCTGCGGCACCGCCCCGGGTTCCCTGAGGAACGGACCCGGCACCCGGCACCGCCCCGCTCGCCACCCCGCGCCCCAYGGGGGTCAGCCGAACGCCGGAGCCCTGGCACGCCCCGAGGAGCACGGCTGCGAAAAGCGACACCGAGAAGCATCATGTGGGTCCGGCCCGCGAGGACACGCATCCGCACGCGTCCGCGTTCCGAGGGTCAGGGTCGCGCTGCTCTCTGCCTCCAGACCGCGGCCCCTTTCCCCGAGGCTGTGGCGGCTCCCGGTTTTCTCGGGCAGATGCCCGGTGTAGCGCTGCATCTCGCCCCGGGCTACAGCAAGCCCTGCTCGGCGCYGGCTGAGCTCCTCCCCGGAGTCCGGCCAGCGGCAGGAGCTGTGGGCTGATCCCAGCTCCCTGCTCTCCTTGCCAGCCGGCGTGGGAAACGGGTCACCAGAGCCCCAGGGTCAGGGCCGCGGAGGTCAGCGGAGCAGCCTTTGAGCAGCGAACAAACTACACACAGGGAGAGCAGCCCTGGCTGGGGKGAGCAGGGCTTTGCCTTAGTACAAACATCATCCCCTTGCTTTCTCCATTTCGCCTTTGCCTGGCAAACTCTGACTTTATTGTAAGAGATGGAACTAACCTAGGTGAACCGTTGGGTTGCCACTACCACCCCCAAACCATTTGCARCCCTTCTACGCACCTCCCCCGTCACCTTCTGTGTCACTCACTGCTTTAAATAGTAGGCCACAGGCTGCCATCCTCTCCCTGTTTACTGCTGTTCCCATCCCCTTCGCAGCCTATTTTCAGTCTCTCATTACCACCCCCTCCCCATTCTTGATATRTAAAACAAGTGTACCTTCTCTATAGCAGCCACCCCGCAGCTGAATGTCTTTCCCACCTATCACAGCCTCACACAATAAACCAGCCATTCCATGCAGTGCCTCACAAAGAGGTAGCAATGCTATTCCCACTCTGTTCAACTGCCCTCCTACTGCTCCCTCGTGCTACAATCAACCTCCCATTCACTCCTTCATTCCGATGGCCAGACCTCTCCACTGGAAAAACCTACTATTCCATCTCACTCACTCATGCAGTAAATTTACCCAGTCTCCCCAGCCACTGTTTTAAAATCTGTTACTTGTGGTACTTAGAGTGAAACAACTGGCCTTCACAGATGGATCCTGCCAAGACAGCAGGTGTTCCTGCCACCTATGTCTTAAAGGAAAGACATTCCCTCCCTTTTCCAAAGGGTACATCTCCTGCTGCACCAAGCATGTACCCACCCACATCTAATATCTCAACTAAGAAGAAAAAACTGAGAAACTACGTTTCTCATATAGAGAAATGATACAATCAAAACTTCATGCATCCTGCTCCACTCCTCAGACTTTTCACCTTCATAGATCAGCAAGGATGGAACAAGCTAAGCAAGACTTTATGTTTTACCTGACTGTCATTTTGCTGTCTGCAGTTAGTGTCAAGCTGAGGCGTAAGAWGATCTTCAGGTCTCTCCTACACACTGTCACAGAAGAGGACCTCAAACCTAGCCACAAAACAAACCCACAAYAGCTTTGACATTTAAGCATCTCAACATTTAAAAGCATAATAGCATAATTAAAAACCCCCTCCCATCCCCTTCTTCACACTGAACAATTTGCTTCTACTGAAAAATCAAAATATGCTAATAATGTCTCAATTYCAGTGTCCTAAATAAAACTTACTTTAGGCCTCTTAACAATGACCACTGGTATCACCATTATCTTACTTAATWTTAATTTACATGGAGATTTTGGCTGACCCCTCTGATATAGGCATCTGTACAAAGTGAGTTGCTAAGTAGCTACCACTGGCTTAAATGAAACTATTGCAATGAATAAAACTCTGGACATAGGTTTTTTGAGTTGTATCAATACATATATAGTTACCATTTACTTTTAGTATTTTTAAATTTTATTTCATTCATACATACACGTACAATACACGTATATTGACATAAGACACAATTTCAATTCCTAGAAATGTCCTTACCTATTTTAGTTGGGGTTGTTCAGCCTGGACAAGAGAARGCTCTGGGGAAACCTTATACAAGTTTCCAGTACCTAAAGGGGGCCCACAAGAAGGCTAGAAAAGGCATTTTTCAAGGGCATGTAGTGACAGAACAAGGGGGGATGGCTTTAAACTGAAAGAGGGCATGTTTAGATAAGATATTAGGAAGAAATTCTTTATTGTGAGGGTGGTGAGGCTCTGGAACAGGTTGCCCAAAGAAGCTGCAGATGCCCCAACCCTGGAAGTGTTCGAGGCCAGGCTGGGTGGAGCTTTGTGCAACATGGCTCTTTGAAAGGTGTTTCTGCCCAAGGCAGGAAGATTTGAACTCAGTGATCCTTGAGGCCACTTCCAAACCATTCTATAATCCTACAATAATTACACATTTGCAGGCTTAAGACTTGTCTGGCTTTTCTTTATATTACAAGTATTTTCAAGTAAGTGAATCAAAATAGCTAGACTACCTCAGAACATGGAAAATGTACAATCTCATTGTTGAAATAGAAGCAACAGTTTGTGTATTTTTTTCATATCCCTGACAGARTGTTTGACAAGGATTAAGTYCTTTTYAAAGGCTGTTTCAAATGGGACAAAAACWATTTCCATAATTYTACACTGCAATGCATTTAYTGYATAATTTAAACACCTAARTAACTACAGAGTCCAGTATTTTCAGTTCATTTTCATAAAAGAGGGAYTATACATGCCTGGACATAGAGGCAACTCTAACCAAGTATTGCATCATGTTCCCACTACACTTCATGAATTTTAATTGTTTTTCTCAGAGTGAGATATTTAATACAAAATTGAAAACACCATGTGGCCTAATAAAAGATTAGATATAAAAAATTGTTTTCCAGATCAATGTATAAAATGATTGGGTTGCAAGACAGAATACATTTTTGTTATTGGCAATACCATCATAGATACTGGAAGGTTTTTTACAATGTGTTCCTGTTAATTTCTTCAGAACAAGAACACTGGCAACATGTTTGCTCTGGGTATATCCAGCACTACTCACTCTTAACTCTTGTATCCTGAAAGCATGGAAACAGCAGCATTTGCAAAAGTGGGAGATTATAATCATTTTTAAACCAGGCATACCAGTTTCACACGAATTTCTATCATCACATTTCAATCACGTGGTTGTCTGCCCCAAACCTGCTTTTTTGACCTGCAAAACCAGGCAAAGTCTGAGAACAAACATGTTTTCCAGCAGACAAAGCCACTGTCGTTGGCCCTACACACACATATTAGACTGGTTACCTTCACTGAAACCTGTTTCCCTGACCATGGAGGAAATACTACCAGGAACAGCCTCCAAGAAGTTCCCATGGAGAAGTCGGTTTGATTTCCCACAGGGAAGGGTTGGGAATTTGGCCTTTACTATCTGTTGAACCTCTAAACTACCTCGCACCACTGGATTAGGTATTTTATTAAATTTTTAATGCACTTATGTCATACTCAACTCTGGAAACAGCAAGTGTTTGGTGGGATTTTTACCTGTTTTGTACAAGACATTCAGGTTGTTCKTAWCTTGGGGCAGGCTCTCATATCCACATGGTCTCCCTAACAGTAACCGCCCAGTCTAGAAAAGACAGTAACGAGAAAAAAAAGGTTGAAATTAGAGAGATCTYCTTAAGCCGATTGCCAGCAGCGACTGTAACAGGTGCAGGGTGAATAAAACGTTCAAGCACACACCACGCTCCATGTGGACACTTCAGTTCATACACCGACATCGTGCTCCAGTCTTCCCCCCAGCTGTGCATCACACCCAAATAAACCCGCACAGCAACAAACCCTGAACCCGGTACCAGCCTCTCCTCCGCCTTCGCTGTGTCTTTCACCGAGCCCGCTCCCCGTCCCGCACGGCACCAGCACGGCGTCCCCGCGGGCCCGGGCGGCCTGTGCTGGACTCCCGTAACTCTGTGGTGCGGTTCTGAGGGCGCCCGTTCCCGCGGGCTCGGGCAGCCTGTGCTGGGGTTCTGAGGGCACCTGTCCCCGCTGTTCCGGGCGGCCTGTGCTGGGCTCCCGTAGCTCTGTGCTGGGGTTCTGAGGGCACCCGTCCCCGCGGGCCCGGGTGGCCTGTGCTGGGCTCCCGTCGCTCTGTACTGGGGTTGTGAGGGGGCCGGTCCCCGCGGGCCCGGGCAGCTTGTGCTGGGCTCCGGTAACTCTGTGCTGGGGTTCTGAGGGCGCCCGTCCCCGCGGGCCCGGGCAGCCTGTGCTGAGCTCCCGTAACTCTGTGCTGGGGTTCTGAGGGCGCCGGTCCCCGCGGGCCCGGGCGGCCTGTGCTGAGCTCCCGTAACTCTGTGCTGGGGTTCTGAGGGCGCCCGTCCCCGCGGGCCCGGGCGGCCTGTGCTGGGCTCCCGTCGCTCGGTGGTTCGGGGGTTCTGAGGGCGCCCGTCCCCGCGGGTTCCCGCCACCGGCCGAGCTGCGCGCTCCCGCCCCGCGCGCTCCCGCGCCCGTTACCCGCCGTCCGCGCTCCCGCGCTGTGCACGCGCACGCCGCGCGGCCCCGCCGCAGGGCCCGGTTGCATCATCCGGCGCGAGGGCGACCGGGGGGGTCCTTCGCAGGGCTGCCCTACGGCACGCCTGACTCGCGGCCGCGCCGCCACCAGCACCACGGCTGCTCTCCGGTGCTGATCGCGGTTCTTCTCGGAGCTCGGTATCCGTCCTCGGGCCGGCCGGTGCCGCGCTGTGCGCCGGAGGGTGCCGGAGGCTGCGGGGCGGCAGCGGCGGTGCCGAGCCGAGCCGGCGGTCAGGCGGCTGCGCGGGACTCCTCACTTCCTACTCGGGCCAAGATGGCGGGGGACGAGGCGGGAGTGACTCTGGGGCAGCCGCACCTCAGCCGGCAGGATCTCGGCACCTTGGTGAGCACCGCCCGCGGGACACCCGGCAGCGAGATCGGGCTCCTGGGGCTCGGCGGAGGCGCTCCGGGAGCGGAGGGGGCGGGCGGGCCGCTRTGGGCAGGTGGGTGGGGGGTGCGGCCCGAGGGTCTCCGAGGCTTGTGCTCGGCCGGTGTGCGATGAGGGGACGCGGGAGGCGGGGATGGCTCTTCGGGAGACCGCGTTCAGCACGCTGGGGTCGAGCCGAGGGCAGGGGGACGCGGGTGCGGGKCAGAGCGACGGCGCAGGGAGCCGGTCCTGCCGGTCCTCATGGGTGTGGGGAGCCCGGGCGAGGCGCTTCTCTTCCCGGTGAGAGCGACGCTCGGACAGTCCGTGTCCCGCCTGGGCGGCTGAAGCTTTTATGGCTCACTGGTGGGAACAGTTTTCCCGGTATAAGGTTTGCCCTATTCTGTGGTATTAAAGACCCTTCCTTTTCCAGGGTATAACAATCAATTGGCGCTGTGTTTCTCCAGCAAACTGGAGGGGTTGGCTGCCAGCCCTATCTTGGTTGATATGCCAAGAAAATTTCCTTGACTGTTAACAAGTAAAGAGAAATACCAGTTCTACCTACCGCTTGCAGTGGTCTCCCTCTGCGGTAGTCTCGCCTGTTAAATGTCTCGCCTTGGGCTGCCTCACGTATTACACTTATATGCTAGTAAAAGTGCGTATATAATGTATCTGTCAAACCAGCCAAAAATCTTGTTGCTGTTTCCAGGTGTTCAAACTGGAACAGCTCATTTGTCTTTCCAGTATTAATGTTCAGCGTTCCTCAGGTTTGAGCACAGGAATTCCTTTTGTGTTACATGTCAGTTGTTTCAGATAGCTTCTTTACTTCCTCTCATTGTTGACCATGGCATTTCCTAGTGGGAAAAGGCACAGAGAGGGACGAGCTKGAAGGACAGCAGCAATTACCTCTAAGGCCTGTTCTGTCTGCCTCTGAATGCTTATGGCTGAGTGGAGCTACTTGCTGAGCAATAGCTTTATTGAGGAAAAAACTCCCATGCGTGCAGAATTGTGTGCACCAGGAAGAATTCTCCTGGTGGCAGGAATTGCATCACGCTGAAGTTCTGGTCGCCTGGCCACATGGTGCCATCTGCAGGTCACGTTCCCATTGTTGGGAATTCATTTTAAATTCGAAATATAAGAAATACAAATTTASTTGTGTGTCTTAGATGTTCAAAACTTGTTTTGTATGGAACATGAACGTTTTATTCATGCTGTACCCGACAGCAGAATGAGTGAGCTTATGTTTTTACAGAGGTTTGATCAGAACCTTCATGTAACAGTGTAAATAGTATATGATTTAATGTGTGTCTTATTTGTATCTTAGCAAAATATTTATATCTTAAACTCCATCAAGGACTCTTTTGGCCTCATAAATCTTTGCTTGAACGGAGTGAYTCATCCATATGAATTCAATGCAGGATGGAAATCAGCTGTAGAGAGGAACGTTTTAGTGGTTTTCAACACTTGTCCATTATTTGGACAAACAGTTTAAAAAAAACCCTAAACAACTCTTTTCAGAGTTGTTTCTTTATCTATATAGGGCATATTTGTGAGTTTTTGMTTTTGCCAGTGGCTATCAATAAGTTCATACAACAGACTAATTTAGTACAGTAGAATTTTTGTCAGGTACTTAAAGTAGCAATAACAGTATCTGAGGAAAAAAATAGCCATTAAAAAGAATAAAAATCCGTGGTGCTAATAAAACCTCTGGACCTATTGACTCCAAGGTGTTAGTTGTAATTATATACTGGCTGTAATGGAACCTTACACCAATTAAACAACTGTTTCTTGATAAAGCTTTGTTTTAAAAATATTGGTGCACTTCATTATCTAGCCCATTGAAAATTTATTTGCCTGTTATGTATAATTTAGGTTCAGGGGTAGGTAAGGATTTGGGGTTTATTGTTGGAGCTTCTTTGGAGGATTTTTGTTTACTCCCATCTTTAACACATGCAGCCAATACTGATTTACAGTCTGAGTTTTGAATTGTACCATGTACTGATTCACAACCAGGACTTGTTGACTTTTGGTCATATTTCACACCCTTAAAAGACTGGAATACCCATAATATAACTGCATTTTGCTGAATAGAACTATTGGTTAATTTTCAAATTTCTAAAATTTCTAAAATTTTCTAAACATTTATATACAAGATGAATAAATTCTAAAATCTCCCTTATACAGGATGTWACCAAGCTGACGCCTCTTTCACCAGAAGTCATCAGCAGACAAGCAACAATTAATATAGGTAAAAACAAATTTATAAAAAGGAGGGGTGTATTAAGGTGACTCTTTTTGGTGCTGGTGCAGTAGCAGATGATGCCTATGTGATAACACTTTCAAGAAATTCCTGCAGAAACAGTTAAATAGTAGTCTTAGGGACTTGTCAAGCCCCTTTGACTTGGAAAGCACCAGTTTTACTTCAGGAACACAGTTGAATAGCATGGGGAATAGTTGCTAAAATGAAGTTTGTTTTAYGTTGAAATTAAGCATTGAAATGAGTTTCATTAAAATACAAAGATCTGTCCCTTAGGAGCTCAATTTCAGATCTTGTTAGTTTAAATAAAAAGGATTACAAATTCCATGTGTACTTTTGATGGGGATTCTGGACTTACTGGCTCTGGGGAATTTGGAGTAATTGTGTGTTGATTGTAGTAAAGCATTGCACAAAATTAAACAATGGTTTATTGACAAACTTTTCCTTTTAAAACACAGGTACAATTGGTCATGTAGCCCATGGAAAGTCGACAGTAGTCAAAGCTATATCTGGAGTTCATACTGTCAGATTTAAAAATGAACTGGAAAGAAATATCACAATCAAGCTGGGTTATGCTAATGCAAAGGTGAGTCATTACTGTAAATCTAGCATATTGCTAATACAGTTCAGGGTGGATGTAAGCTTACAGGTAACTAACCCTTGAAGAATTAAGCATTTTTTTAATTTTTAAAAAATCACAGATTTACAAGCTGGATGACCCAAGCTGCTCTCGACCAGAGTGTTACCGATCCTGTGGAAGTAGCACCCCAGATGAATTCCCTACAGATATTCCTGGCACCAAAGGGAACTTCAAACTAGTCAGGTAACTGCKTTAAGTGACTGGAATAAATTGTTTYTGCYTCCCTTTGTATGRGAACAAGWTTGAGCTGTKAGCTSAATGGGKTCTGACAGATSACACATTCTTAGATGGGGCACCCCTGAGCTAAGATGCTCTCTAAACTGTTGTGAATTCATTGGTGGTGTTGAGCAGCACAGCTGTGTCTGCTGTCATCAACTACTTGCAGGACTTTGAAGTGAAATATTTCTGCTGTTTGTAAGTACATTTGAAACCTGTCAGATTGAGAACTAATGTGGACCTCACAAAYGCATTTTTAAAATTCCTTTTGGGAGGGTGACCTTTGTTAAACTTTTTCYTCCTAAAAGCAGAGTTTTCAATGTTTTTTTAAATGAATGCATGAAAGCCTGATGCATAATGTGAGATCAGGTCTCTCACTGCAGGCCAAGTGTTTTTGGTTTACTTGATAGCTGATAAAATATAGCATGGTGCTTATGGAAGCTTAGTAAYCACAACAGTTATGTGAGTCTGCACAATAATTGCTCAAATGAGAGTAGTCATGCAGACTGTTGTAAAGTTTCTTAGTTCGTGTTTATGATGACTCAGACTCAAAGAAGAGTTGAGCAGAGCACTTTTACTAAGGTTAACTTTGTTGGAGTGAGACAGGCAGGCAGCCATTGTGAAACAACTGGTTAAGAGCTTTGCATTCTTTATCTTACTGGTTGTCTGCTTGTAGTGGATTTCTAACATCATCAGCAAAGCAACAAATTAGTCCCTTGCTTTTTGGTGGCCTGCTACTAGAAACAAGGATTCTTCACTAGATAGGCTCAGGAAAGAATATAGAACCAACTGTCTTGGTCTGCATAATAAAATCATGAGGTTGGAAAATCATCTCTGTTGACAAGTCTTTGAAGTGCAGTTATAACCATGTAACTAAAGGTGTATAATTTCCTAAAATTGGAGAATGGGAGATGCCTTTTAAAAGAGATAAAAGAAATCCCATGTGATGTGTTGCAGTAGTGGTAGTGGGTTGGTTTGGTTTCATTTTTTTATTCTGGTRCATTTAAATCTAATTTACAAGTTTAATTTACTAGTGAATTGGTGAAATATTAAAACAGTACATAAAATGGATATGTGATATTAAATCTTATAACTCAGAAAAAGTATTTGGTAGCTGTTCAGAAGTCTTTGTGTTCTTTTAGGACTTTTTTGAAAATACTTTTAACATATTGCTCTTCAGCATCTGTTTCAAAGTATCTATCTATTTTAAGGATGCTTTTAATTTCTGTGTCTGCCTACTCATTGACATAAATCAGTCAGAGGAATTGTTGATAATGGACTTTTGGATTTCTCTTTCACCTTCTCCTTCAACAGGCATGTYTCTTTTGTGGATTGTCCTGGCCATGATATTTTGATGGCTACTATGTTGAACGGTGCAGCAGTAATGGATGCAGCTTTACTGTTGATAGGTAACAATTGCTACCCAAAAGCAGAGCTCCATTTTTGTAGTATCATGAAGCAACTTTATATGGGCTTTAAATTCTCCTGGGATGTGGTGAGCAATTAAAACAAGTGAATGCTTTTGAGATGTGTTAAAGAAAATGAAGTGCTGCATCAATGGCARTGTACTCTAACAGGCTGGGTTGTTTTAGACATGGCTAGCTATACCCACTAGTCTGGTAGCTGGCCCCATTGATGCAAGATAGGTACCATGAAACCTTGTAGTAGTATAGTACTGT